AGAAAACGAATTTATTTCACATAACTGAGAAGACCGATTTTCTATAAACCTCAGCATAAATAATCGATTAAATTATTTCAATGTTCTTACGAAGTGTTCATGTTGAGCTGACGCGAGATTGGTACAAGTGATCGTTGTTGTTGTTGTTGTTGCTGTTCTCGTTGTCGATGTTGTTTCCGTCGTTGTTCTTGGTCGATAGTTTATGGCTGATGGTTGAACGCTGCAATTTTGAAAGTTCTACTAACGATGAGATAATGAGTCTCGCATTCGACATATCCATTTACCACGAAGTCCTCGGATTTGCATGTGGCTTCGGAGGAAATTAAGAACTTCATCTTCGTTATGAATTTCATCGAACGCTCATCGAGTTGATACCAGCTAGAATACTGGGGAATGCACTTGTAGAGAGTTTCCAGGTATTCCAGGTCTCAAGAGACAACCACTTAATTGGAGTGACTTCTTCCCTGAAAGATCTAATACAAATTTACCGACCCTGTGAGATTGGAAGCATTTGTTTGCAATCCAAATAAAAATAAAAATAATACGTATGCGTTGTACGTAATTGTACGTATCGTTACTACTGGTCGAGAGGGAGAGTGATATTTCTGCAGGTTTGTTCATGTCTTCGACTGATTCAGTTCTTGATTAAAAAAAATATCGCCAGCTGGCAAAAAAAAACCACTTGATCACTTGATCATGGATATATTAACATATAGAAACGTTAACATCCATGTTTTCGCAAAGCCTTATCTGAACGCAGATTACTAATGTCTATTAAGGACTCTGAGGGGCATGTGGCGTAGTGGTCGGAAGCGTCTTGCAATACACATGGGATCGATTCTCGCTCCTCTGGCTCACCAAGCCTTCCATCACTCCGGAGTCGGCAAATTGGTACCAGACTTAGACGGGAGGATAGCAGCACTGGCTGGATACGTCGGTAAGCCACTGCGAATTATTGTAAAGGCCATATATACATTCAGTCACCTCCAAACGATGCTTAATGAAGTGGAATCTCATCTCATAGCGTATCTCATAGAATTAATCAACACCGACATTTATCCTCATTTATCCTTCTTTTTGTTAAGAACCCTATGCTACAAAAAAAATGGTCAAATCACATCTTATATAGGCAAAACTGCTTTTGTATCTGAACATGTAAACCCCTGCCACCATCTTCGTCCGCGACAATGATTTTCGTTTCGCAGGCGTCCACACTATTCTTAAGTAATTGCTTTAGTGCATTCTCTACTCGCACGGCAATGTACTTTCGTATTACTCATTATCAGGAAGCTACAATCAAAATACGAGAGTACTCTTTTTAAAAACTTGTAGAAATTACGTCTGTGACAAAGAACAAAACCGTCACTAAATGTTGTTTCTCGGCGCCTGCTTTGCAGCACTTCGCTGTTTCGTGAGAACACAACTCCACAATGAGAGCAAATTAGCGATAAACCGTACCTCTCCTGGTGCTATCTTACTCACAGTATCGTCCCGGAATTGCTGGATCAGCCCCTTCCTGTAATAAAATCATTCAAGGAGCCAAAGAAAACGTTTAGTGAAGGTTTCTTTTTTGACTAACAGGTAGACCACTGTAATATTGCACTCTTCTACACGACTGATAGACCATTCTTCAATGGCAATTTGTGTAATTTCGCCAATTTCGCCAATGGTTGGTCGAACAAAATTTTGTTGCCTTTAACCAGATGGGGATCGCTAGCAAAAGGATAAAGGATGAAGGCCTTAACGTTGACCCAACATTCAGAGATGCGCTGTGCACTTCTCTCCGTTAGGCATCGTAGAAGCGATTGAACACATATTTGGTCAACACGACGACTGCGTTGACCTAGCGATGTATTAAGTGTTTCTATTTTTCCGGAAGAACGAAAAGCTCGCAACACACTCTTTAATCACTATATACCACTTTCAAATACGTTGGATAGGAAGGTAGTTATTGAAGACGATGAAAGAGATGGACAACTAAGCTCTTATAAATGGTTCCCATAAATAAAGCTTATCGTCTGTGAAGACAACAAGACAACCAAGTGCCCATTAAAGTTTGAGAAAGAACCTTTTAGACCTCACTAGTTATCACATTCTATGTACAAATAAATGTTATGTTAACACCAATAAAGCGCCATAACGCTTAATTTCTTCAGAACTAGCACGATTACAAACAGTCCATTCACTACCATATCCATTTAATCCATTTAGATTAAATTTAATTTAAATTTCATTCACTTGAATATTAAATAAAGATTAAATTAAAAAAATGATGAACTGAAAAGGAGAATCCAAAGTGACAAGCACTCAATACATGGTAAGAGAATAGGGCACACCAGGAGAAAGATCATCACGAGAACAAAAAACCACTCCTAATCGTAAAGCATGATCTGACCAGGAAATTTCAGACACTATAAATTGAATTCAAAGACGAGAACGAATCAAAACCGGAGATACAATGCTATCGATCACGTTTCTAAAGAACGTGGAAACTACCCCAAGAAAGAAAACTCTGTTGATTTAAACGTCTATTCCACCTCGACGAATTCTTTCGATATCCCAAGAACAAGAAACATCAAATAGAGATAAAAATTAAGAGGCGGTGGTACTACCACCATCACCTTTCCCTAAAACGTTTTTTAGACAGCAGCAACCCAAACGATGGAGTTGACATAAAATTCCGCATGTTTTCGGACGGCGTTTTCAAGACCCTTGATCACTACCGTGATAGAAAAATTATCTCTAACCTTACAGCCGCACAAAATTGTGGCATGCGGAAAATTAGAGAATTAATAAACTCGAAAACAATAAGATTGTCTGTTAGTGATAAGGGGGGAGAGTTCGTAGTTATCCCTCGCCAGCTGGATGTTGAGATAACAGAGGAACATCTTAGTGATGCTACTCTCTATCACCCATCCTCTGAAAAGGAATATAAAAGTCAACACCAAAACCTAACCAATCAATGGGTCAATGTGGCAAAGGCTGCGGGTTTAAAATCGTCGGTTATTTCGCACTTTAAAAGCGATAGACCAACATGTCCCGTCCCATACCTGCTTATTAAAACACATAAGTTGGTATCACTTGATGATCATGCGTCAACCAATCCGTCATCATTTAAGGTTAGACCGATCATCAGCTGTGTAGACGAGCGAACGGATAGAATAACCTGGTTTTTAAGCCTGATACTTACCCAGTTGCTTAACCAAATTCCAGCTCACCTCACAAACACCCGAATGTTCCTAGAACGTCTACGTAACGCGTCTCCTAATAACGCGTACGTGATGGAGTCTTTCGACGTTACCGCACTGTACACCAACGTATCGAATGACTCCGCAATGCAAGCTATCTTCGAACTTCTTGTTGAACATGAAGGAAGAATAAATATGCATGGCTTGTCCATCCAGCAGCTAATGGCTCTCTTAAAGGAGTATCTAAACTGTTCAATTTTCAGATAGTCTGAGAAATATTTCGCCCAAATAAGGGGTTTGGCAATGGGACAGCGACTGGCACCAAGCCTTGCCATTGTGTTTATGTCTAAGATACGAACCCTGTTCTCGTTCTCAGACCACTACTCTACTGCAGTTATGTAGATGACTGTTTTGTCGTCTTCTCTACGCAGGAGAAGATGGGCAAATGCTTTGAATTATTGAACGAGTAGTCCGAGCACATAATGTTCACCCGGGAGAAACCGAGAAAAAACTGGCTTCCGTTTTTGAACGTTCAAATAAACCTATCAAGTAGCGGTTACCTGGCAAAGTGGTATCGAAAGCCAAGTAGCAAGAACATTCTTGTTCATTTCCTTTCTTCCCGCCCTTCACACACAGAGCGCCATTGTGAGAAACATGTTTCGAACAGCTACCTCTGTGTGCACTACCGGGGAACTGAAGGAAGAATCGCGCGACTTGGCTCGGCAAATAGCCATCTCCAATGGCTACGAAATAGTAACCTCACGAGATAACTTTACAAGGAGAACGACGCGCCCAAGTGAAACACTTGGCCAAAAGAAAATCCCGTTTATGTTGCCTTTTATAAGCGATGAAGTAAGCGTAGCCATAAATCGATGCTTAAGAAGGGCAGGTCTAGAGGAATCGGTAGCGATAGTTGAAATACCACCGGCTCCTCTACGTCGTCAATTAGTTCGTAACCGCCTGTATGACCGTTGTATGAAACAACAAATTGCGTAATTTGCCCTTACGGCAGGGACGGTGATTGCATGAGTTCAGGTACGATATACCTGATCTTGTGTAACAATTGCGGAGATGAATATATTGGCGAAACGGGCTAACCTTTGTGTATCCGTATAAAAGAACACCTAGAAGGCAAACGAAAACTAAGACGAAGCACCCCACTAGGCACGCATAGGATACAAAAGCATAGCGGAGACGATTTTGAAGTAAAAGTCAATATCCTTGCACAGGAGCCCAAAACACCAGCGCGAAAACTTCTTGAGGCTTTTTGGATAAATGCCAAAATCCCTGCAATAAATAGTAGGGGCGAATGCCCGGAGGTCATACGCGACCTGATCCCGTACGTTCGCATCGATTTTTGATGTGGGATGGTGCAGTCGTCAACCACATGCGACTATAATCAGCTGTTCTAAACTTCCTCATTGGAAGTCACGAAAAAGCGGTGGGTTTTTTCAAGAAGTTGTTTATCATGTAATTACCAAAGAGTTTTTCGTCTTTGTGTAAGTGTTATTGAAGCGTTTGGCCTAGTAGATTGTACATCAGTATACCCTTCCAGGCTCTGAAGAAGGCGATACTGCCGAAACGTCAGCTAGTGTTGTATTGTATTGTGCTTTCCTATGGAAGTAAATGTATGCTGTTTAAAAACCTCGCGACTGCCGAACAAGAAAACGACGCATTCATATTCCAATGCCGAGGTTAATAGAAAGTCGATCCTGGGAACCATTGTATATTTTGTTTTTTTTGGTTTCTTTTTTAAGATTATTTATTATGTTAGTAAGTAATGTTTTTTTTTGGTGAGGGGTATTCTTAGTAATAACTTTATTAATTGTTTTTATAAATAAAAAGATTATGAGATATAGAAGAATTTTTAATTATTTTGTTTTACAAGAGAGTTTAGGTTTAGTGTTTTTATTATTGTTTTTTAGTTTTTTTCCTGTATTAATTATAATGATTAAGATTGGTATTGCTCCTTTTCATTTTTGGTTATTTAAGGTTGTAAGGGGTATGTATAGTTTTAATTTAGTTTGGTTTTTTTAACTAACTTTTTTTTAAAAGGATATTGGTAATTTCTTCTGTGGAGTCTTTTAATTGGGTTTTGGTTAGTTTATCAATGTCTTTTTTTAATGTTTTTTACTTGATTTTTTACTACTTGTTTTTGATAATGTTTTTGATTTATAAATTTGATGTTGTAGGAAATTTAGGTACTGGTTTTAGATGGGAATTAGTGTTAGTATTTATGAATATGCCTTTTAGGTTGGGATTTTTTATTAAAATTATGATATTAATAGAGTTTTTAAAAAGTTTTGGAATTTATTTGAATGTGATTATGATGATAATTTTAACTCATTTATTTACTGCCTTTTTCTTCTTAATGGCAGGTTATGTTTCGAATTATAACTCGTATGAAATGCTGAGATATTTGCAAAACTCCGGACCACAGGTGTATGCAGTGGCGAACGAACACGCGTTGTTGTCCTTACCGGGGAGCAGCGCACTTCACCACTACACCATTCGGGTCAGGGGAGGGTCTATAAGGTTTAATGCTAAAACAATCTTACGGAAAAAATTTGAGGACCTCTTCAGTAACACGGTTTCAAGAAGGTATAGAAGCACCATTAACGAAGATCAGACGAGTCACAGTAAAGTAAATAATGTGCCAGAAAAGTCGAGCATAGCATGTTGAGAGGCATGGCCGCTTCATTGGAATTGAGCTCAAGTTTCTAATCATATTTTTCTAATCATAATCTAATCATAATCAATCAATCTTATTATATCAATCATATCAATCACCTCCTTTAAGGACTTTAGGTCATGTGGGAAGAAGGGTTGATTTGGCTATTTTTAGTTTGCATTGTGCTGGTTTGAGTTCTATTTTGGGTGGAATTAATTTTATATGTACAACTAAGAATATGCGTAGTAGTTCGGTTTCTTTAGAACATATGAGTTTATTTGTTTGAGCTGTTTTTGTGACTGTTTTTTTATTGGTCTTGTCTTTGCCTGTTTTAGCTGGGGCTATTACTATATTGTTAGCTGATCGTAATTTAAATACTTCTTTTTTTGATCCTAGTTCGGGGGGTAATCCTTTAATTTATCAGCATTTATTTTGATTTTTTGGTCATCCTGAGGTCTATATTTTAATTTTGCCTGCTTTTGGTATTATTAGTCAATCTGCTTTGTATTTAACGGGAAAGAAGGAGGTTTTTGGTTATTTAGGAGTAGTTTTTGCGATTTTTAGGATTGGTTTGATTGGATGTGTGGTTTGAGCTCATCATATGTATACAGTAGGTATGGATTTGGATTCTCGTGCTTATTTTACTGCTGCTACTATGGTTATTGCTGTTCCTACGGGTGTTAAAGTTTTTAGTTGATTGGCTACTTTGTTTGGGATGAAGATGGTTTTTCAACCGGTTTTATTATGAGTTATGGCTGTCTTTAGTTCCCTCTGGCAAAGCTCCACCCACTACAGATGCAATACAGACAGCTCATGGCCATTAATCTTCAAGTGTGAGCAGTGTTCGTCCAGAGTCCATTCAGTTCGTTCACATCGCCTAACTCGTCCGTGTACTTTGCTCTACTGTTATTGTTGTTATTGCTACTACTATTATAAAAGTTGTAACCTAAGGCCAGAAAGCTAGCGTGTAGTACGTATTCTTCATTGTGTCCTAAAATGGTTTTACCAGCTGCTAGTTAGTTCTTGTTGAGCACTGTAGAAAATCGTTAATTAAGCATACTTTCTTGTTGCGACAACAAGCTGTAGTTGTGAGTACAGCTTTTGCCCTTAGTTCCAAACGCTTCCGCCAACGTGTAGGCGGTCGTTCTAGGGGATCCTGCATCCTAGTTGAGCCCACTCTACATTTCTTTTTGTAAATTTGTCGTTCGTTTTTCTCTTTATGACATCGCCTAGGTTTGACCCATTCATGTTTTGGTGTCTAAAAAGACTATTTTGGTGATGTAGGTGTAGAACAAGAAGCAGTCCCCATGGTATGTCGTGGGCCTCCTGTGCAACCAGAGATTTGATCGGCTGTCACCGGTTTGCTCTCCGCCCAGAGTTGTAGCCAGGTGCGCCTAGTGTGCGAGGTACGCTTTTTCAGCTAATGTGGTTTCTTGGAGTCTTGAGGTAATTCTAGCCGAAGCCTTCCTCACTATCACAGGCAGTCGCTGGGCATTATGGGCTGGAGAAAAACATGTCACAATGGGGTAGTAAGCAGGGAAGGAGCAAATTCTTAATAGAAACGCGACTTCTACCTGTAAAAGGATAATGAATAAAAACCTCGGGACTCATCATTTCCTCAAAAATGCTTCATACTTCGATCTCACTGAGTTCAGCTAAATGACTGCGTACTTCTTTAAAAAACAACTTGACAGATCACCGATATCATGCCAATGCTCTTAATCCCGCACGTGGTGTTCTTAGCAATGCCCTATGTCTGTTCCAGAAGCAACTCTCTTTTTCCTGAGACCATTCTACAATATTACTTAATTTTTGTGCATATTTATCTGGCACCACTTCTTTTCTGCTCATTGTAAAGATTTTTTCATACCAACTTCTGCTGTTCGCTGAATAGTAGAAGAATGTATTTGTAGATAGTGACAGGTGAAACGAGGGACCCGCATGGTGCAGTGGTGAAAGCGTTACTCTCCGGAAAGGACAATTGCGCGTTCGCTCACCACCGCAGACACCTGCGGTCCGGAGTTTTGCAAATATCTCAGCATCAATGAAGTTATATTCCGCAATATAACCTGCCACTACAAACAGTAGGCAGTAAATAATGAGTTAAAATTGTGATTATAACTAAGCCTCAGCTTAATTGGATTCAATGCCGATTTGGGCTCCCCAGCTCAATCCCGCTGAAGGGTGAATGCTGATGGCAAAGATAGATAGTATATGTAGATAATTTTGCATGTTGTTCTTATCCATTGTGTGTCGTTTTCTTGTTCAGCAATCGCGAGGTTTTTAAACAGCATGCATTTACTTCCATAAAAACACAATACAATACAACGCTAGCTGACGTTTCGGCAGTATCGCCTTCTTCAGAGCCTGGAAGGGCATGCTGATATACAATCTACTAGGCCAAACGCTTCAGTAACACTTACACAAAGACGAAAGACTCTTTGGTAATTACACGATCAACAACTTCTCGAAAAAACCCACCGCTTTTTCGTGACTTCCAATGAGGAAGTTTAGAACAGCTGATTATAGTCGCATGTGGTTGACGACTGCACCATCCCACATCAAAAATCGATGCGAACGTACGGGATCAGGTCGCGTATGACCTCCGGGCATTCATCCCTGCTATTCATTGTAGGGTTTTTGGCATTGATCCAAAAAGCCTCAAGGAGTTTTCGCGCTGGTGTTTTGGACTCCTGTGCAAGGATATTGACTTTACTTCAAAATCGTCTCCGCTATGCTTTTGTATCCTATGCGTGCCTAGTGGGGTGCTTCGTCTTAGTTTTCGTTTGCCATCTAGGTGTTCTTTTATACGGATACACAAAGGTCTGCCCGTTTCGCCAATATATTCATCTCCGCGATTATTACAAGAGATCAGGTATATCGTACCTGAACTCATGCAATCACCGTCCCTGCCGTAAGGGCAAATTACGCAATTTGTTGTTTCACACAGACGGTCATACAGGCGGTTACGAACTAATTGACGACGTAGAGTAGTCGGTGGTATTTCAACTATCGCTACCGATTCCTCTAGACCTGCCCTTCTTAAGCATCGTTTTATAGCTGCGCTTACTTCATCGCTTATAAAAGGCAACATAAACGGGACTTTCTTTCGGCCAAGTGTTTCGCGTGGGCGCGTCGTTCTCCTTGTAAACTTATCTCGTTGCGTTACTATTTCGTAGTCATTGGAGATGGCTATTTGCCGAGCCAAGTCGCGCGATTCTTCCTTCAGTTCCCCGGTAGTGCACACAGAGGTGGCTGTTCGAAACATGTTTCTCACAATCGCCCTCTTTGTGTGTGAAGGGTGGGAAGAAAGGAAATGAACAAGAATGTTCTTGTTACTTGGCTTTCGATACCACTTTGTCAGGTAACCGCTACTTGATAGGTTTATTTGGACGTCCAAAAACGGAAGCCAGTTTTCTCTCGGTTTCTCCCGGGTGAACTTTATGTACTCGGACTGCTCGTTCAATAATTCAAAGCATTTGTTCATCTCCTCCTGTGTAGAGAAGACGACAAAACAATCATCTACATATCTGCAGTAGAGTAGTGGCCGGAGATCGAGAACAGGGGCTTCTATCTTAGACATAAACACAATGGCCAGGCTTGGTGCCAATCGCTGTCCCATTGCCAACCCCCTTATTTGCGCGAAATATTTCTCTGACCATCTGAAAATCGAGCAGTTTAGGCACTCCTTTAAGAGAGCCATTAGCTGCTGGATGGACAAGCCATGCATATTTATTCTTCCTTCATGTTCAACAAGAAGTTCGAAGATAGCTTGCATTGCGGAGTCATTCGACACGTTGGTGTCCAGTGCGTTAAAGTCGAAAGACTCCATCACGTACGCGTTATTAGGAGACGCGTTACGTAGACGTTCTAGGAACATTTGGGTGTTGGTGAGGTGAGCTGGAATGTGGTTAAGCAACTGGGTAAGTATCAGGCTTAAAAACCAGGTTATTCTAACCGTTTGCTCGTCTACACAGCTGATGATCGGTCTAACTTTAAATGATGACGGATTGGTTGACGCATGATCATCAGGTGATACCAACTTATGTGTTTTAATAAGCAGTTATAAGACGGGACATGTTGGTCTATCGCTTTTAAAGTGCGAAATAACCGACGATTTTAAACCCGCAGCCTTTGCCACGCTGACCCATTGATTGATTAGGTTTTGGAATTGACTTTTATATTCCTTTTCAGAGGATGGGTGATAGAGAGTAGCATCACTAAGATGTTCCTCTGTTATGTCAACATCCAGCTGGCGAGGGATAACTACGAACTCTCTCCCCTTATCACTAACAGACAATCTTATCTTTTTCGAGTTTATTAATTCTCTAATTTCCCGCTTGCCACATTTTTGTGCGGCTGTAAGGTTAGAGATAATTTTTCTATCGCGGTAGTGATCAAGGGTCTTGAGAACGCCGTCCGAAAACGCGCGGAATTTTATGTCAACTGCAAAGAAGGCGATACTGCCGAAACGTCAGCTAGCGTTGTATTGTATTGTGTTTTTATGGAAGTAAATGTATGCTGTTTAAAAATCTCGCGATTGCTGAACAAGAAAACGACACATTCATATTCCAATGCCGAGGTTAAGAGAAAGTCGATCCTGGGAACTTATCCATTGTTTTACGGAGTCAACTCGTTGCACAGCCTACTGAGTGAGTCATTACAATTTGGAGCTGAGTCTCACACACCTACATCACCTATGTATAAACATTACTCGTTAATCGTCATCTAGCCGTTGAGCCATTGAGCGACGACCCTCAATTTTGCTGCCCGCTGAAAAGGACGATGCCTAATTTGCAACCTACGTGGTTTTGCTGGTTTATTGATAATAAACAATAATTTTCTGATAACTAGAAAACTTAAGAGTTTGTGAATATGTCACGACTGTATAGGGAACTTGTTGTATCGTCTGTAGGAGCAAATGCCATGAACGCTAATATTTGTTACTTGCTACGTGTTACTATGGTTCATCACACAAACACATTTTTACAACAATATGAAAGCGCAACCACAACCATGCTGAGATATTTGCAGGACTCCAGGTAGGATAAACGGGACCTTTTTTATCGCTAGAGTTGTCGTTTGGAAGCCTAGAATTTTCCCTACACCTATCCCGAGCTACAGTTTCGTAGCCACTGGAAATGACTATTTGCCGCACCAAATTCCGTGATTCCACTCTCTGTTCTCTTCCCGTGCACACGTCGGTTGCTGTTCGAAACATATTTCTTACAAGCGCCGTTTTCGTGTGAGAGGTGTGAGAGGAAAGGTAACGTATCAAGATGTTTTTACTACTTGGCTTTCGGTACCACTTCGTAATGTAGCGATTTTCTGACAGGTTAATTTGGACGTTCAGAAATGGAAGGCATTTTTCCTTCGGTTTCTCTCGGGTGATATACTCTGATTGTTTATTCAACAATTCAAAACATTTGTCCATTTCCTCTCGTGTTGAGAAAAGGACAAAACAGTCATCTATATATCTACAGTAGAGTAGCAGCCCGAGATCAATCACCGGTGCTTCCACCTTAGACGTAAACGCAATGGCAAGACTTGGTGCCAGTCGTTGTCCCATTGCCAACACCCTTATTTGAGCGCAGTACTTTCCGTAGCTCCATAGAGTAGCTTTTTTATTTTATAGCTGCACATACATCATTTGAGATGAAGGTAGGATCTTCTCTCTACAACTTTTACGGCAGAGTATAGAAGAAAAACATGAAAGTGC